CAAAAATGGACACAATACAATGACAATCCATAGATCAAAACTTACGCAAACTTGGAGAAACAGCAGGCTTTTCAGACATCTACGCACAAGACTACAGCGGATATTTTAAAAACATAAAAGATAACATTTATTTAAATGCATAAAAAATACATACTACAACGTATATTACCAAAATTGTTTTTAGTTTTGTAAATTTGAAAAACGAATTTCTTGCCTTTCTAGGATGGCTCTACTACATCTTAGGAAGATTGACTACATTATACGCAATGTTTAACTTTCTTGGATTTTTTTTTCTCTGCTAAAAGGAATCTACAAAACATGCACAATAACCACACAAGTAAAAAAAAACAAGCAAGCGTAGCACGCATACTTTTGGCAGGATTTTTTGGAATTTTCTCTACATCAAAAAATAAAATACTTTTAGACGCTCAAATAAAAGAATACAATACCAAACTATCGACAACACCGAACACGTATGATGATTCACAAAACAATACGAATACAACGCCTACGGCAACACAATTATCGTGGTACTAAAACACAACCATCCTTTATCATTAGTACCACGAAATTTCAAAAACATAGCCCTGACAGACCTCATAGCTTCAAGAACTAATTACCCACAAAGCCTAATTTAACACATAATATCCCAACAACCTAACATAGAAAACACATACGAGCAAATTATAGAACAACCACATAGCACAAACTTTCGTTCTCAGAACAACCATCTTTTTAGCCCACGATGAGCCGCTAAGTTGGATCAATCCATCGCTCAATTTCCTACCCAGCCAATCTTCAAAGCAACCTCCCCGTCACACCACTCTTAGCTTTCTCCCACCTGAATCACCTCACGATAACACCTCATCCGGCATGGATTCAGATACTAATTCAAACCCCACTATATATAATACCATTTCCCAGTTTATTAACTCAGATATCGAGACCCCTGACAAATTTGACAACTCCGAACCCAGCTCATCTACGATTTCCCAACCTCATTTTCAACCACTTCACTCCCAAATATGATTTGAACCTCCTTCAACTCCCTCTTGTATTTCCAATGTCACACCCACAAACTCCCCCTTGACCAGTGAAACTTCCGACAACAACAGCTCTGTAAATACACAAATATCTCAAGAAATTGACACTTTTATCACAGTTCAGCAAAAATTACAGCACCCTCAAACACTAACCTTTCACCATCTCTCACAATCCATAATATTATCGAACCCATCAACCCCAACTCCCTTTTCAACTTACACCCCTTCGCCAAGCCCAACCTTCTCGTCAAACCCATCCTCATCTAGTACAAACCGAGCCTATCGAACTTTTAAAAGTTTAAAAGAAAATTCCCTAATACTCCGTTTCCCTCTCACCCAGGAACAGCCAGATCATTTGTTAATCACCCACTTCACACTAACACAAAAGAATTCCTTTAAGTATATTGACCCTTTTTCCCTCAAAACACCTACTTTCATTCAGACCCTAATGACGAACACCCTAATTATGTTAATGAGCACGTATTATACCAAACACTTTCATTGGCATCACTTTATCACTTCACTAATCCACTGTTACTATCATTATATAACACTCCTTGTGATAACGAACAATGCAGCACTCAACTCTACCTTTTAACAAAAGCACTCACTCCAAAAAAACTGACGCAAATTGGATATAAACATTCACTTATCAGATTCACCGCACCCAAAGCTAATGAACATTCCATCAATCACTCCGACATCACATCGTAAGACCAAACGAAACACCTTTTTAAACGACGATAAATTTGCTAACCCACAACTAACAGAAAAATTCTTCTTTAAAACTCCATATGTTTTCACCCTCAATACTCTAGATAAAAAAAAACGACCACGTCATATCAGCAGCACTCCGTGATATTCAAGCTTATGATTCATACTTTAAGAAATTTAACAACTTTTCACTAACGTTTCATTTCCTCAAACCCAAAGAACGTGATTTGCACTGCTCACACGGCATCATGACTTACTAAACAGACACACACTTATACTTACTGTAAGTTCATCCAACATCATTACAATCATAATACACCAGCACGACAATTTCACCACAGATATCAATACTTTAAATCCAAATATAACTCAACATTCTTTCTTAACTTCACATATTGTTTTAAAAATACTAACATACAAGGCATCCTCCGCAATTATGGTCCCATCAACCAGATGTATATATTCTGTCCCTTAACCAAAACCTTCAACGTAGACAAATCCCTACAGCCCGGTGAAATCCCAATCCTAGAAATCATCCATAACACCAGATATACCCACAAACCTTTTGACTTCATCCAGAATACACCATATGAATTCTAACCTGGCCCTGAAGAACACAAAATCATAAAAGCACTCGAATTGCTTTGGCCACTTCTCCAAACTAAATACATCATTCGCTTGTTACCTAAATTAATAACATCATCAAAAGTCATCCATGACGTTTTTCCTCATGGATTTTTCCCAAACGAATAAACTAATTTGAATTAAATAATTGATATTAACAAATTAGAACAAAACTAACCATTCTTCAAAATGTTTTCCCTTTTTTTTTAGTCTTCACAGGCACGATCATCAATGAACTACAAAAAAGAAAAACGAAATAAAAAACAGAAAACTTTTTTCTAGGATCAAAAATTTATATTAACCAATTGCAATAAATTAAGCAGTAAAACTTACCCCAAAACAGCAATAACTTGATTTATAACTTTTTTCCCATATGCAGTAAATATTCTTAAAACGGAAATAAATTAATAAATTCAACTCCCCAAAAGAGATAAAATTAATATTTTGAGAACAGTAAATTAATAAAAATTGCCTATAAGTTTAAAGCAGTACTAACCTTTTCAAAGACGCTCCTTTATAGTTTTAAATATTCATTCGCCCACAATCCTATCCACAATCGCACAGCTCGCCCACGAAGAATTGCTTAAAATAATAAATTTAAGTTTTAACTTTCACTGATAACAACTCTAACCAGTTTTATAACATTTCAAACTTTCCTTTAACCCGGTTGGAAAAGATTTATATATCAATTCAAACTAACCAACGCAGCTTACTGAAACCCACAAACCACAACCTAACAGCATGACTAAGAAAAAAAACCCACAGTACTCAAATTGGATTAAAACCAGCTTAGAACTGGATAATTTATTCTTTTGAAGTCTACTGTCAAGTCTTAACACAAACGAATAAAACACAAAGAAGTCGAAAGACGAACCCAAACCAAACGATTTGATTTTTGAGAAAAGGTTACAACCAAAACAAAAAAAAACCAACACTTACAAAAAGGCACAAACGGTTGAACACAAAGAACCCTCCAAAAAAGAGAGCATGAATTTATACTCCACTCCTGGTTTAACCCACCAGAGAGGACGTCCTTAGCATGCTCAATAGCCGGCGTAACCCACCGTGCTACATCCACGCTTTGTCACCCACACTCTATTTTCGGCGAGAGTTACTCAAGGTTGAGTAGCTTTTAAAAATAACCGAACTAAACAAAAACGCCTTTGCGATAAAAATTAATACAAGATCATAACTAAAAACACAATTAACAAAGATTTGTATATGTAAATAATACAATGTACTCTATAGATTACATACAGCCCAAAGACGAGCAGCAAGGAACTTGACAACCCAATCACACTCCAACTACGGAATTGCAAACACACCCGATATGCTACCTACAGTCATTATACTCAAAGAATTTGAAGTACGACTTGGCATCGCAGCAAATGAAACCCATTGAAACAGAACAATGACCTCCTCGATGTTCAAGTATACGTACCGATCCAAGTTACCAAGCATTTCACTCGAAGTCAAGCCTCATGCCACATCCGAACGAGATTGGAGCATTGCTGTTCTCTAATTAACCAAATCAACACTCATCACAACCGATCAGAAATCATGATACAATCTACCGTGATAAAGAGCAACCGCTTAAGAACAAGTTCATAAAGACGATTCCAGCTTCCTGAAGCAACGGATACCAATCCGTCTTTCTAATCGGAAAAAAAAGAATATGCTCGCAACTTCTAAAGAAGAACACCATCATCCATCCTCCACTACAGTAGAACACTGAAAAACTAAAACTCTCTAAACCCCGGATGGGTGGAACCAGATCTAAACTAGAACTTATTACTGGATATTGTTCTGATATTTTATCTCTATAAAATATTGAATTACTTACCAATCATACTCCATCAAACTAACAATCATACTCCATCAACTCCATCAACTAACTATTTGTAAGTGCTGAAACTACTTATAGTTCCAGCACCATAGAGATTTGAAATGAACTTAGAATATAGTTGCCTTCTCCAGAGAGACCGGCTCGTATCAGCCAGTATACACTAGATCTTTTGAGACTAGGAGATATAAGAGTAAGATTAAGATTGGTATTAGATTAAGAAGTTGCACGAAACTGTCCGCCGAAAAAAAGATAGCGTAACGAGCAGACGGTATACCTTATCTGAAATTACTTTATGGGTATTACCAAATAGGTCTTAACTCAAATTAATATTCCAGAAGAAACTAATTCAACGGCAAAGCTTATGTTAATTTTGAACCTTTAACGAATCTGCCCCTTTTGCAAAAGTAAGGGTTAATTATCAATGTCACTAAGAAATGATCACTCTGTAACTTTGTAAGTAGATATCGTTTGGAAACAATTTATTATATTAATATAATGTGCCGTGATACATATACAGTTCAGTATATACAGTTCCGTGACTTATTTTAAATCCAATTCCACATTCGCTAATGTCAGGGTGTTTGTTTTTTGAGGAAAAGCCACCAAAAGACTGTCCTCAATAAGAAAAAAAAATCCGATTTACATTTCTGTACTAAAAAGTCGATGGTACCTTCAAAGTTATTTTTTGAGCACAATTGTCAGGGCATGAATGAGTTTAAAAACTATCAAATTGTCGATTCAATTAGCTTTTTTAAAAAGATTTTGCTACTTACTACAATTTCTTAGTTTGATTGACAAATCCAATTCCGCACATGCCGAGCAGTCTTCCGTAGGAGGGTTTCTTGTTACAGACTGGAATTACGAATCGTGGGTCGCCTACAGGCTCATTCAGCTTGAGTAGTGCTATGTCGTAGAAAGGCTCGAATTTTGGGTAACTGAAAAAAAACTAGAGGCATTAGTTAGAAGCTTTAAACACAGCAATAAAAATTCTCAAAGACACTCACAACAATTTAAAAAAATCGATAAAAATTCCTATCAACACTTATAGTTCAATTATTAATCAGTAGCGGATTTAAGGGGGGGGGGGAGGCGGAGACTTTAGGGGGAATTTTTCTAAAACTGCCTTTGACGCCAATATTAACTAATTTTAAGGGGGTAGCGCGCGCCGAAAAAATGCAATTTTTTGTCAAAATTTACCAACATTGTCTCAAAACGCCTTTTGTGATTTTTTTTCAAAATTTTGCCTGCGGCGCAGAAAATTGTTTCAAAACAGGGTCTTTTTAGTGCTTTGAGAGAGCTCAAAAAATCAATCAGTCAACATAAAAAAAAAGTCGACAAAGTTTTCGAAACTTTTTTGAAAATCCGCCCCCCTTGAGAAAATCCGGAATCCGCACCTGTTAATAATCATACACACAGCCAAAAATGTTAAGAAATTTGATTAAAAATTTTAACGAGGTGCCAGGGGGACGGATTTTCAAAAACTTTGTCAATTATTTTTTTTTGTTGTCTAAGTTGATTTTCCGAGCACTCCAGAACACTATACATAACCTGTTTTGACCAAAAATTTAGAGTCGCAGGCAACTTTTCGAAAAAGAGGTAAAAAAAACAATTTTAAAAACTTTTTCTAAAAATTTGACCAAATTTTTTTTGGCTTTTTTGGAGCGCTCTCTCCTTCAAATGTAGTATGTATTCGGCGCCAAAGGCGTCTTCAGAAACATTTTAGGCTTGGTCAATCTAAATTGGATGTCATAAAATAATACCCACAGGGGAATAAAACTACGTCTAGAAATAATTAAAATGGTTACGATCGCAAAAGAAAACAAATTACTACAGCTTTTCTTGAGATGTTTGCAGTTTTTTTTCCAATTTCAAAATCTCAGATTATGTCAATGATTTAGAAAGCACTCAAGACTACATAATCAATGAAGAGGTGAAAAATTAGCAGACAAAATAACTCGTGCAGATGATGTACTTTTATATGCCGGGTTTACTTTCAGGGCTAGTTATCGCTGATTCAGAATCAAATAATGAATCACTACTGCGAATTTACTGGTCATGGATAAGTGGCCACTGATCAGGGTCTGAAACAGCGATGATTTTCCTATGTAATTTGCAGCAATGAAGCATGGATAACTCATGGTGAAAATAGTTATTTCAAAATGCGCGCTGTTTTAGAAAGAAATCGGCGCTAGGTCATGAAATGATAGATGTTTCAGTGATGATTTAACGCTAATTCAGGGCTGATATTTTCAGGGCTGATTCAGAGATGATTCGATGCTAAATCCAAAAAGTTAATTATGTTTTAGTCCTGATCATGGAAAAATGGCTACCGATCAGAGCCTGAACCTCTTTTTTTTTGGTTTTAGAACGTTCAGCACATTTGATTCAATTTCTATCAATTGAGCCATACATTATCAAATAAGTTTGCCTCAATTCAATTTTGGCTTGTTGAAGAGCCGGAGTAAAAAGCAGCTTATTCTATTCAATTATAGGATCAAGTTCCACCCCAGCGCATAATTCAATTTAAATTGAAGAGCGTTGCATGTGAAATGCTCGATTCTAGCTGAAAAATTCTAGCTTAAAAACAAGTTCAAACGGCTTTGGGGGAGGATAAAAACTCGGTCCCAATTATAATTTTATACTTCTCATCAATAAGTCTAGATAGCAGAAAACGAATCTTTTATACCTACGAATTTTTGTAAAAGTGATCACAGGCCGTGTCGTTTTTTAATCCATATGCTCAGGTTTGTAACAGTTTTCAGATGATTTGAAACATGTCTAGTTTGGCCCACAACAAAAGAAAACTAAGCATACATTTTGTGTAATTTTCTGAATATCAAGATTTGGAGTTGAAGACTCCAGCCAAAGATGATTGGAGTAAATAAGCAACGAATATTTAGAGCAAACCACTGTTCTGTGAATTTCTAGAGAAACAGGATCAATGTTTTTAAGTTTACTCACCCAATTTCAAAACACGCTTTATTGGTAAATAGCCGTTAAATTCATTGGTGTAAAGGTCATTAAAAAGGAAACTTAAAATTCAGAAAGAGGTGTAAAGGCGAAGCATGAAGTTGTGCTAAATCAACGAGTGTTTTCTACGTATTCTTTTTTTGAAAACTTACGCGTCTGTAACCCGAAAAGAATTTTCACACAAGCCGTGAGCTTAAAGGATTTCTTAAAATTTTGATATTTAAATTGTTCAGCTGTTTGAATAGGAGAAAATTAGTTCGAGAATTCGACCAATCAGAAACCGAGTTGGGGTGTTTTGGTAAAAATGGGACTGTTTTTCTTTCTATTTCAATTTAGTTTTCGTAAAAACTGGACTTCACCGATAAAAACAACCTAATACGGTTTTCGAATATCCAAATGATACTAAGCTCGAATATCCAAAGGATACAAATTTTTAGCTTCGGAAATCTTGATAGTTAGCGAGCAGTCTTTTGCAAACTTTAATGCTTATTGGCGCAAAAAAGAGCAACATTGAAAACAAGCATTCTTTTTGCAATGGTTTGAATTAAATTTTAACTAATCAATTAAAAAAAACTAGATAGACTCAATTTTAGAACAACAATTACTATTTTTTTTCAGCCGCTTTAAAAAGCACAAAACTCGAAACTTAGATAGCAAATCTTCAAAAAAGTATTTTCGGGATAAAAATACTACTTTCATTAGTTCAAACGCTGTAAATGCCCGCAATCAAGTTTAGCCGTAAGTAATCGATAATAACGGATTATTAGGATGATTTTTTGACAATTCTAATTGATTATAATTACCAAAATTAGGTGTTTAAAGGATTTATAATTGATTATAATCGTGATACATTCCAAGAGATTATAATCTTTTATATTGGATTATAATTGATTATAGTTCTTCTAAAAAACCACCCTTAAAATCAATTATAATCGATTATAATTGATTATAATCTCTTATTTTGCCAAAAATTTGTCAACTCAAAACTAAATTCGAATTATATCTTATGGGTTATTATTTTTGTGACAATGAGTAAATAAAATCTCTACTAGTGAGATCTCTTGAACACTTTGGTTCATCTGAACACAAAGTTTCACCACGAAACAAAAGTTTCATTGAGATCCTTTCATATTAGTGGAAATATTCCCGCGGTAGATGAAAATTAAATCTTCCGAATCAATCATGACGCTAAATCAATTTGCTGATGTTTTGGTGTTTAAAAAAGCTTAAAATATGCATCACAAAACAACTTTAATGGGGAAGAAATAAAAAAACGTATAAATTTGAATTAATTGGAAAAATTTAAAAAATTTTTACTCATTTTTCATAGGAAGCAACGTCTACAAAAAGCTTAAGATATAAGCAATTGAGATGCAATATCGAAGACAAAATGGACAAACAAAAGGGATTATAATCAATTCTATTTGATTATAATAGATTTTTGTGCAAAACTAATGAATTAGAATTTGAATAAAAATAAAGGATTATAATCAATTATAATCGATTATAATCGATTATAAATGTATCGAAAAATAGACGAATAAAAAATTGATTATAAGGGATTATAATTAATTATAATTTGATTTTACAAAGAGATTATAATCGATTATTAATTGATTAATATCGATTGTTTCTCAATTTTAGTAAGACTGGTACTAAAATCGTAATATAATCGATTATTAACGCTTGAAACTGGATGCGGGTGAACCCCTTAATCTGACATACCTTTCTGCATATTTTCTGTGCACGCGTTTGGCTCGTACTCCTATCTTGCGCGTCGGAGAATCGTTGACGGAAAAATCGCCCAAGTAAACAGACAACTGATCCACTAAAAAGAAGCAATTTTAAAAAGAAATACCTACACCAACGATTGAAAGTTGTTGAATCACCTGTTCCTCTTTCATACTGTTTTTCAAATGAAAAATTTTAGCTGAATTAATGTTTTCTGATTTGAACCGTAAATAGAGGTCACGGCGATTATTGACCAAGTTGATTTTCCGAGCACTCCCAGAACACTATACATAACCTGTTTTGACCGAAAATTTAGAGTCGCAGGCAACTTTTTGAAAAAGAGGTCAAAAAAGCCAATTTTAAGAACTTTTTCTAAAATTTTGACCAAAATATTGCGGTTTTTTTGGAGAGCTCTCTCTCCTTCAAATGTAGTATGTATTTAGATTTTTTATTGAATTGCGATGCTGCGCCAATGTTAGCTTCCCGACTGATCAAAACAAATAGTCGTGACTGGGTCTTATAACTGCGGATGATGTCTGGAAATATCATTTTCCGGTCACAATGACCTGAGAAGCAGTCGAATTACTTAGATATTTTTCCGTTTTGTCAGCCAGTTTTCAATTGTTTTTTTTTAATAGCGCTGGTTGCTTCGTTCGCGTACAACTTTTCCCGGCCCTGCCAGTCATTGACAAATTTTCATCGATGCCGGTTGATTATTTCTGAGTCTTGCCGGTCACTGAAAATTTTTTTGACCGCTGTCAAATTTTTTTGGTCTGATCTGTCGCGCAAAAGTTTTTTCGCTTATGCCGGTCGCGAAAAAATTTTCTTGGGGTCCACCGATCGAGGAAGATTGTTCATTCGTTCCCAATGTCACAGTTACTTTTCTCGGTCGCAGTGTTTGCGGACAAAATGCGTTCAGTTGCGTTGTTCGCTTAAAATTACTTAAATCGCACCGGTCGCGGATGGATTTCGCTTTAGGTGATTTTAATCGAATTTTATTTCACTTTTTTTTAAACACATTAAATTTTACTAACGTTTAAATGGGAACACACAGTGTGCTGCTGTTATAACCCAATATGCAGTAATGATAGACCCTCCGCATCTCTGACGATCTCGAATATTAACCACGACAAAAAAGGGGCGTTTTCCCGATACATTTTCGCCCTTTTCAATTAAGTTTCGGAGCGGAAACTTAAAATGTTCTTCGACTGAATAGGAAGAGTTTATACGCTGATTCAAATTTTTGTCAAAACTAACAGACTTTGAAACTGCTTCTGAGGAACTTAAAGAATATTTTAGAAGATATAAATTAAAAAATAGAAAACAAAGAGTATATAAAACAAAATTCAGCAGCTTCATCTCTATGTTTTGTTTGCTTGAGTTATGATGACTTGATTCAAATTGACTGTGACCTTTATTCAAAAGGCCATAATCGATCTTTTAACTTTATATCAAAAGAAGATATTCAGATTGTTTTATGAAACTTAAGTTTGTTTGCTAATTTCAATTTTGGTTGATCTCTGAACCGTTTGGGTAGAGGAGGTTGAAAAAAATCCGAAATCTTTGTCGACTTTTTTGACCTGCCGACTTTTTTTATCGACTTTTTTGTCAACTTTTTTTACTTGAGTGTCTGAAGGGTTTCGTAACATTAAAGAGGAGCCAATTTTAAAGAAAAAAAACTGTTCACGTTTCCATATTGGCTTTTTTTCGGATTTTTGTCGGCTCTCTTTTGGCGAATTCTCTCTCAAACTTGATATATTTTCGGGTCCTTTTCGGGTATCTTTTTCATTGAATCTTCAAGCAAAAAATAGTCCCTCACTCACTTACTGAGTTCAACAAATTTTTCGCTTTTGAAAAACTTTTTAACTTTTAATTTCCATAGGCATACGCACATTCATAGGTGCAGAAATTTGTGTGAAATTTTGTAAAATAAATTTTTTCATGAATGGAAGTTGTATGATAAGCAGTTTTTATGTTTCACATTAAAAGTGGAAACAATTTTTCTTTAAAAGAAAATCAGGAGAGAAAAATATTTTCTATGAAAGTAAAGAAAAATTTTTTGAGCCCCTGTTTAAGTTTTTGAGTTTTTTGTGTAAAACACAATAACCAAGATGCTTACCGTAAAAAGAAACCCATGTATGAGCTGAAAATTTTCACATATATAATCTGTTTTTGAATTTAACTGTACTTTTTTCATTTCAAATGTATTTCTTCTACAGAGAATTGAGAGCAAAAAAAAAAACCAAAATTTTTTTTGTAATGCTAGAGAGCTTCTACATTATAAAATTTAGCAACAGAAAACCGCTTCCTCTTTCTTATAGAGTTAAACAAATCTTAACAATTGAAAACAAAATATACCATTACAGTGCACAGACAGGACGTCCACTCCACAAAGGGGAATCCGGGAGCAAAAATCTGGTTAAACATTGTTGGAAACTCTAGAAAAGGCGATTCTTTAGATCTAGCGTGCAGTTAGAGAATCCGGAGTCACAGATATTCAACAGGAGGCAGATGGTTGATGAGAGAAACCGAGTTGATCATCTAATTTTGACTTCTGCTGTTGTGATTTGTTTTTAGCTGTTTTAAATGACCTTCGGTATTAACAAAATACGGGTTAACTTTGTTCGATACGACCATCGGTCGATCGCAGAGTGTTCGCTCAGCTATGGTTTTAGAACTTTTTAAATTAAAACACTATATTTTATCTGTTTTATTCTCTTAAGTAATTGTACAGTAGTTGTACATAACTCGTAGGTTAACATAATACTTTATAATGACCCAGCCGAATGATTTGAACGTGGAATCCCCCTTCTGGCCTAATCATACCCTAGAGCCACCGCATGCCTAGAACTAATGGAGCGACCAATTTCAATGTGCAATAATTGCAAAAGAAAATCTGGACAAAGAGAGCCGAAACGGACTAGAGGTTCCAGAAACGCATATCCTTATTTTGGAACAAGTAACAGGAAGCGAGTCGGACACGGACAGAGCCAGCAGAGAGACGAGGAATAAGAACGCAATGAAACAGTACGAAGCCGCCGAGGAAAAGCGGATCAAGGAAGAGAAAAGAAAATTCAACGGAATGAGATGGACGGAAGCGGATAAGAAACTGCGTTCAACATTTGAGAGTAAGTGTGTAAGTCAGCATTCATCAAATGACCAAATTTTCAGCAAGTTTAAAGAACTATTCAACAGAGTGGGAAAAATTTCCAATGATCACAAAGTAACTCACTTTCACTCACCGTTTAAACTGGTAAAAGTAAAAGGGAGGAGAGTTCCCCTTCACTTACTCGCAGGTGAAAATGAAGAACTGAAAAGAATGGAGACCGAAGGTCGCATGATAAAACTTGAAAAATGCGTCGAAGATTGTTTGATGAGCTCGATTGTAATTACCCGCAAGAAAGACGGTTCGATTAACTTGGCATTAGATTCCAAATTTTTAAACGATCACATTTTTAAAAATAAGTACCAAAATCCAAATATTCATGAACTCATAGACAACGTGGCCCGTCAAATTTCAAAAATCCAAAAGAAAAGTTTGGTTCAGCAACTTAGATCTGAAAAACGCCTACAGTCAACTTAAATTGGCGAGAAAACGAGCAAACAGTGTAATTTTAGTACAGTAGGAGATGAAACAACGGGAACTTATCGATTTTTAACTAGATTTTATGGACTGGGTGACATGCCCAATGAATTCCGACGGGTCATGGACACCTTTTTGAAGAACATACCTTTCACAAATTGTTATATAGATGACATTTTGGTAGCATCGAAGGAATCATTGGATGAACATAAAGCAATAGTCTATAAAATCTTAACAATTCTGTACAAGAACAATATGGCGGCGAAATGGGTGAAGTGTCCGTTTTTCCAAATTGAAACAGAATGGCTAGGCTTCGAAATCTCAGGCGAGGGAGTGCGACCGTTGGTCGGTAAAGCAGATGCCATCAAGATTTTATCAATTCCTACCAATCCCTAAGAACATTTCGGATTTGCGATTGTTTTTCGGCTCGCTAAATCAGTATGTGAAATTCGTCCCGAACTTATCGACGCTAAGTTCTCCACTACGTCCCCTGTTGAACAAACAAACTGTTTATAGTTTTCTTTCCCCAGCCTACGAAGAATTAAAATCTGAAATTGTAAATATCGCAGAAAACAACCACTTCGACATAAAAGAAAAAACCAGGTTAAAAACGGATGCTTCGCATAGTGGATTAGGCACAACTCTAGAACAGTTACAAGGGAACCAGTGAAAACGATTGCCTTCGCCTCAAGGTTTTTAATTACTCATGAAATGAAGTATTCCACGAATGAATTAGAATTACTGGGCGGGTTGTGGGCCTCAGAACACTTCAGGGATTACCTTCAGTCACGGACCACAAAGCCTTACTCTCTGCGCTTTCGGCAAACTACGGAAATACGACCATGCATAGTCGATTGACCCGCTCGGTAAACATACTATTGCCTTTTAATTTTAGAATTTCCCATATCCCAGGAAAAGATATGGAAATTAACGATCTTTTATCCAGATTACCTTCAGGCAAAGCCCTTCCACCTTCCCATTACGACGATGATTTTGTAGTCGCTTCAATCGACAAAATTCAGAATCCTCTATAATCGAACACATTTTAACTCTGTAGATGTATATTTTCTGATAGACCGCCGGTCGCTGTAAATAGTATAATTCTCGTGAACAGTAATATCCCGTGAGGAGTAGAAAATTCAAGCGACGTGATTAGTCAAGACTTTTCGAATAGCGCTTTAGCTATCTTCAAACTCAAAATTATTGTCGCTATTATATCTTGTATTGATCAGCTAATAAAGATTCGTGATAATTCTCACACAAGAGCAGAAAATTGCACCTCAAAATGTTTACCTATTGATAATTCTAAATCCAACTTCAAGAGCATCTTTTTTTCGGACAAGGTCCTTTTAAATTTTTCTTTTTTAAAATTATTAAGTTTTACCTCAAAACAAAAAAAAATTAGATGTTACGAAGATGGTGGATATTATCGGCCCTTTACTAAGTGTTCCCGAAGAACACAACATCGCTCTGAAATCTAAAGATGACCACCTTCCGGACGATCATGTGAAACTAGTCAAGAGTTACAAAGCAGACTTAAATTTACCCACGTCTCCCATACTCCCCGAAAACTACTGTTCTATGAAACTCCTACAACTGATGATGAGAGAAGTCAAAGTGATGTGGGACTTGATCGAGACAATAAAGACGACACGACCAACGACCAATGGGCATTCATGGATCGTATATGAAAAACTTTTCAAAGGATCTCCACGTAAAAAACGACCAACTATTTTTAGACAACAAACTAGTCGTTCCAGCTACTATCAGGGGAACTTTCAGCACAATGCTACGCGAGACCCACCCAGGGCAGTTTGGGATGAAGTCTCTCGCGGAATATATTTGGTGGCCTCACATTTACCGAGAGATTTACCATCACGGGAAGTCCTGTAGTCAATGCCTGAAGGCCGGTTAGAACCTCAAAGTTTTGTCAGGAACCGACAATATTACAAAACTGCCGGCTCTGACTTGTGCTAACAAAGAAATAAATCTGGATTTCGCGGAAACTTTGGACGCGTTTTGGGGAACACAAAAATACATTCTCTGATGTATCGACCGATTCACTAAATTCCCATAGGCCAGATTGTAAATAATACGTCCTCGAACACGGTGGTTTCATTCTTAAACGACTATTGTCACCTTCACGGATTCCCAAGGAAGACTAGAGTCGATCATGGTTCTTGCTCTGTATCACACGATTTTAAACATTTCTGCGAAAAACAACATCGAGATCATTTATTGTTTAGTCGGCGATCATACATCCAACGGGCTGGTGGAAAGACTGGTTTATACGATAAAGTCTAAACTATTAGCAATGTCATTTGATTTACCGAAACCTTCGTTAAACTCCTCGATCGAAAAAAATTATCTGGAACCTAAGAATCACAAAACAAGCTTCAACCTGTTGTATCCCGTTCGAGAAACACTTTAATAGAACGGCTAACACTATATGGAAATATCTAATTTCCTTTTAAGACCGTTTAGATAGAGAGAAGTTGATCCTATCCAACCGACGGGCCAGTAAATGGGAATTGCAGGCCGGTGCGGAAGACGGTTGCCTCAACGAAGATAGGACAGCCCATCGGACCCGGAAGACAACTTACCGTTAGCTCAAACAATCCCTAGCACACTTACACCAGAGGGCCACAACCAGTACAGAGGTCCTAATACGTCGAAGAAATTAGTTGCTGGAGGTGAACTATTTAGAAGGGCTACCAACAGAAAATTGGGGAAACTTATTTTAACTTATTAAAGAAGGATATGATTGACTCGTCCGACCACACGATAACTCTCGATAACGGTCATATTTTACAAAAATCGGACTTGGCTATTAAAG